TTTTGAAATTTTTTAGTGCAATTACTAATAATTTTCTTAATTAAACCTTTGTAATAACTTTATTTTAATATATCATTGTAAAAATTAAAAAATTTTTTTATATTCAATTTGATTTGATTTGATTCGACCAAATATTTGATTTGATTTGATTTGATTTGATTTGACAAATATTTGATTCAATTTGATTTGATTTGATCAAATTCAAATGGATTCAAATTGATTCGATCAAATATTTGAGTTTAATTAATTCAATTCAATTCGATTTGAAAAAATCAAATCAAATTCAAATTGCTTAAATATTTGATTCGATTCAATTTTGAGGAACCCTAGTGTCTGGTGCTTCTTTTTTATTATTTCTTTAGATACAGTTACCGTCTTCTGCTTTGGAGGCATAGCTAAATGGATTTCATAAAAAAATATTAACAGAATTCGAATTCTTTAAAAAAATAATAATAAAGATATAATAAATAAGTATTTATCATGAACTGATTAAAAAAGGCGTAAAAACAATTATTTAAACATTTAAGGTTGATTAAAAGACTCATCAGAACTATTTAATGATGATGTTAAAGACTTTCTACGCTATTATAGTATTTATGATATATGTTTTATTTGTTAAATTAGACTCGTGATCATCTGACCACTCTGCACTTAATTTTTTTATAGTTTGATATTTTTATTTATAGAAGACAATAGACTTTACTATACCGGAAACTTCTGATCATTTTTATACTTCATATTTTTTTTTATTTGACTTTGTATTTTTTATTTTTTTTTATTTTTTTCACTTTAATTCTAATAACCATGAAACGTTCAAGGAGAACTAATCATACTTACGTACATATTCCAAAGTTACGCATCATCGCAACTGCTTCCAAACAATGGCAAAACTATAAAAAAATGAAGGGTTGCCTTTAGCATTAGAGGATAATAAAACTTTTATTGATAAATAAGACTTACCATTTTTGATTAATGAAGATGATGGGGCGATGATGAAGACAAAAATTTGATCGATGAGGATGACAACTTACCAATAGATGTTCTACCATTTCCAGTTGATAATGAAAGCGAGAACTTGATCGATAATAGAAGCTATAACTTGCTAACAGTAATACATATTCATACATATACATGTTTATTTATCTAGTTTGAAATCATTGTCATTTTTCATTATAAATAATTCAAAGTGTCTCGAGGAAGAGCTCAACAACGAGATTATAAATGACTTTTTGTATATGGATAACATTTACGATAATGTGTATGATTCTGGTAAGTTAAATATATAGTCGTTAATTTTTAAACTATCTATCCTAACAAATATTTCAAGATCTCTCACATAGATCATTACTCGAAGTTATAGAAGAAGTTCTAGTGGACGATAATGTGTTGGAAGACTCTTCCAATTTTGAAGAATTTGAAGGTGATTATGGTCTATATTTTCCAAATTTTACATTAGTAATGATATTTATCTGGATTACCAAACATATGATATGTAAGTAATGCAAAGTAATTTATATTTACATTGTTTATATGATACATCATCTACATTTATACAATACTCATCTAATTATATAGTGACTTCTGCATACGAAAACCTTACTAGAATCCTTACACATCCTGAGTTTTGCAAAGACAATATCACTACAAACATACAGCGTATTCGTAAATGGAGAAATATGCTTTCTCTGGTAGGGTACGTAAACACAATGTACCTCTTTGCAAGTAACAAACTCTATCTACATTAGTGTCTACTAAGAAAGCGTTTAGCATATCTCCTTTAATGCATTTGGAACGTGTGTTGAACAATCCTTCACTCATGCCAAAAATGTACTTTGAACTTGAAATAATTGCAAAGGAGAAGCGTGAATTTTGGCATGGTGATCTGTAGCAAGATTCACCATTATTCAGGGAACATGAAATAAGAAATGATAACAAAAGTTAGTAATACTTTTGCAGAACCTTTTAAAAAAGAAACAATAACTTATCTTTTCATTAGAGTCCTATAATGCCAGTGACTTCTTGATTTGTCATAACCAATCATCAACATTTATATGCTGTGTACATAGTATAGTTTTGGATAAAATGGATGAGACAATCAAATTAAAGGTCGATCAAATATTAACGCATTAAAAACTTTCTAACCATCGTTCCAGTAATAGCCGATGTATCTGTGGAAATGAAAAAGAGCTATAGCTTGTCGAAGGAGAAACGAATTTGATCAACTTGGGAAATATAGATCGACATATTGTTGTATGATGATGTGACCAGCCAGAATCTATAGAATATGAATTCTATATCCAAGAAATATTGTATTGCTTTGGTTGCCGATGGAAATATCATGATATATCAAAGAGACATCAACTACCTTGTAAATATGTTAAGCTTAAGCCACAACCACAAAATATACCTGTTCTAAAGATCTTTCTTGACATTTATGTTGACTATTTTAGTACTTACAGGTAGTATTATACACGGATATTATCCTGGTGATTTTTGGCGGATACAGGACATCTAAAAGTCCATGTCCGGGATTGTGTCCACAGGACAGTTGGGACATGGACCAATATTAGATATCTTTTGGCCAGAATTAACAAGAGATATGGTCAGCATTAATGCGAACAAAAAGTACCAGACATAAAAAAATCTCAGATATGGACATGGACAGTCTGGTCCAGTCTGGTTCATGTTCGTGTCTGCGTCCTATGACAACACTGCTTACAGAAACGTGTATCATTCTTTAGAGAACGTGTATTTGCAGTTTGGAAATATGCCATTGTCTTTTCGAAAGCTACTTAAGAATAGTTTTCTAATTGGATTTGTTCAATTTGGGGCGAATTTTGATGACTTTATTAAACCAGTACTTGAAGAAATAAAACATTTAGAAAATGGCCTCATCATGCAAACAATATTTGGTGATGCTTGGATTGTAGATGGTATTGGCTGACCTGCCACAAGGTAATGACTTGGCAGGTGTGAAATGACATGGTGCTATCCATGGTTGTCGAACATGTAATGTTACAAACGATCAACTTACTAACCCGAGTTATGACTATATGAGAAATACGCATTTTCATCATGATACAGAAGAACAGTTTTTAGAGATTGATAGTCAACATACAAAAGCTGCTAAGAAACGATTAGCTACTGAATACAGATTGGTGACACAAGGACCTTTTGATTTACTTAAATAGGATTGACACATCCAGACACCACAGGATTTATACCATTCTATGGCTGAAAAAGCACGTACTTTATTAGAAGTTACATTTAGCATACTCAATGTAATTGGTGAAAAGGCTTTTATAGAACATTGGAAAAATATTGAAAAACCATCCCATTGAAGCTGTATGCTGAATCCATTGTGATATCGCTAAAGTTTTATATTTTCCAATGTGTTAAGGCTTACAATGTTAATGTCATTTATAATTTGACGTTTTTTAAAACCTTGCCATATAAAAGTGGAAGTCTTAAATAAATGGCATACAAAGCATGAAATGATACAAATTACAGCTATATCTCAGTTGTGTATTGTCTGGTCTGTTGAAATTAAAGTGTTGAAAATTGCATTTTCAACTACCATGACGGAAAGAACTTAATATGAATTACAAGAATTACTTATGAAAGAACGTGAAATGCTAATACTAGTAAGTTGAGATTATGTTTTATAAATTGTAATAATTTTACTAATATGTGTCTTAGTTATTTTCAGAGAATTTTGAAAACTTACCTAATTTGCATGTAAATGTTCACCTTTCACAGCATGCTCATAACTTCAGAACACTTGTAAATACAGCTGTTGGTATGAAAGAAATGGTTCATCGCATATTCAAGGGCATGGTATCACACACAAATCATAAAGTAATTGAATTGGATCTTACTTAAAGGTACAACACAATACTGGCATTAAGACACATTATCAATAGTTTAACAGATCCTCGTTTTGATACAAATACCAATACATTTAGTAATTTGATTATGTCAAGATAAAAATTTCGTTAATATTACACTTAGCAATCAATGGACTATCAAAAAAATTAAAAGCATAGTCTATCAAAAAGATTAGATGATAAACATCCACTTTTTTGGAATTTTTCTAGATCATATTTAAAGCATTTTGAATCAAAAGCTGCATTATTGAATAGAAAGGTGGATTTTTATAATTCTATTGCATATACTATTCTTGGAAATAAACAGGGTCCTATTTGACTAAAGGTTTATGTTGGTGATATTGTAGAATTATCTGAAGAATCTGAAGGTATCGCTTATACTAAAATTAACTTAATTTTTTAACACCAAGCAAATAACAATCAATATTATGCATTTTTTTATTTGATTGGTTTCAAGCAATAAATACCATTGATCCTATATTAAAATGTTCACTTTATAACATTCAAAAACCTAAAAAATTGCAATAGTTACATAATTTTCCAATTAATTATATTAATCACATTTCACATGTACATTTTATACATAGATGTGGAAGGAATTGTGATATCAAGCATGATAAAACCAATAGATATTATATTTTTAATGAGTTTTATTATAATGCAATATAGAGTTAGGATATTTAGATTATATATATATATAAAATATGATGGATATATAGATATAAAATTAATAAATATTGTTAATATATTTTAAAAGGATTTTTATTATATTATTAGCGTTTAAAAATATTATTGATATATGATAAATTGATTTTTATCATATTTATTGATATTTTAATAAATATATTGTTAATATATGTTAAACAGATTTTTGTCATATTTATTTAAAATATTTTAATGTATTTTTAACAGATTGTAACTAGCAAGTTATAAGAGACTTAACAGAATTCACATATAATATGTTTGTTAGATTTTAAAAATATTTTTAACATATTTAATAAAATCATAAGTTTTTGTAAAGTACCTAATATTCCATTCATGCATTTGAAAGAAAACACCAGAATACATACAATAGCCCATAATCAAATAAGCAATTATATAAATGAAGTGATAAATAAATGTTTGGCGTAATTTTATTATGATCATGATTAACTTCTATTAGCTTTGCTATTTCAATTAATCTTCAATGAGCTTTTAAAACAAGATCTGATTATATAATTTGGCTAACTAAAATTAAGCAAATTCTCACAAAATGTGTAAGAATCTTTTATCTACAGCCAGAAGATATTTCCAAAGCAATACAGTGGCATAAACAGTAAAAAATATTCACCATTGATCTGTTGTGAAATTAGAAAATCCTTCTCCTTTATGAATTTTACCTGGAATTTGAAATAAATCAGATGGAATTTGAAATTCATTCATTTTTTTCTGAATTTTTTCAGGCATTTGATGTTAAAATTCCCTCATCAATCCAAATTCATTTTATTATCCATCATGCAATTCCTAAAAATAAGCAATGCATTGGGTCAATTGTGATAAATCTAATAGGATCAAATATGGTAATCGCAATAATTCAGACTATCTTATACTAGTTTGTTTACAAATTGCTTTCGTGAAGTATCAGAATTGCAATATCTCCATTCTAAAACATTCTGATGATATTCAGTTAGATTTCGCATGAAGAACTAATCATCAAAATCATTCATACCGGCAAAATTATGCTGCTGATTTTCATAATTTTCTTTCTTCTCACACCTAAGATATGATACTAAGGCTGAAACATGATCACATATTTAGCGGCTGGTATATCACATATAATAAGAATTAGAGTTACACAAATGGTCCTTCCTTCTTAAAATTCGTATGTTTATTTATAATTATTCCATCTCAAAGAGATTTCAATTTATCAATGATCAGTGCTAAATAATGATTTATTTTGTACAAACTTACTTCACTTGACCAGGTAAGAGGTCAAGAATCAGTAGATTTTTACTTTTGAATTAGATATCACGTGGCAAATTGTATATAGCAGCATAAATAACATCAATACTATATACAGTATCTTCATAAGGCTGGAACTAATCCAAATTCAACATTAATCCAAGATGAGAATCAGCCACTTTATCTCTAAAAAAATTTTGCGAGTTTTCTTTAGAAGATTTTTTTAATATCTGCCATATTTGATCGTCATATATATCAGTCCTAATTAAGGTTGCTAGACAAAATCAAGAGTTTAGACAGACGTCTAAATGGTAAAAGTAAAACTTGGTTAAATTATATTAAAACCTTATTAAAAAATTTGCAAAATTTGGAAAAAGGTAAAACTATATCAAAGCTTATAAAAATGGTGAAACTATATTAAACACTTAGTAAAAAATTTAGCGAAACTAGAAACTAAAGGTTTAACCGTTTTGCCAAATCCAAAATGAGTTAGACAAATAACTTTAGTCCTAATATTATCATAATGCTGATTTGCCCATTGTCTCAAACAACTTTCAAAACAAGGCTGATGATATATCAAAGTGAGTTGTTGTCTGATTTCAGAAAATGGAAATATTAAATTAGGTCGAATTACTATTCAATTTGCCAAAATACCGATGGTTCAAGATATAGTTGTATTGCAAAGTCATGATTTAAAGAGTGACAAATTAGAAAATTCTATATGTCAGCACTTTATTATAGCAAGTGAATCTTCTTGTCTAAAATTTATCACTTCCTGTTTTTATACAGCTTATGATATTTTAGATAAGAAACGAAGCTATGAAAATGATCTTTTAATCCAAGTTCTTTCCTTGTTAAGTACATCGAATCTGAAAAGTCTTTAAAATCATCTCCACTAATTTCTGTCAAGACTAATTTCATAAATTTTATCAAAGCCTCAGTTGCTGTCTCTGTTATGTTAAATCTTGTCTAAAATGTCATAATCTAAAGCAAAATCCATAAAATTTAGTTATCAATTGTTGATCCTAAATCTGGTAGCTCATAATCGGGTGGTGCATAATTCTCAAATGTTTCGTAATCTTTATCATCATCTGATTCTTCATCATCCAATTCATTTCTATTACTATTACTACCTGAAATATTGTCTTTTTCAGTGATATATTCAGAAAATTCAGAAGGCTTATCAACACTTTGTTCGAAGTTGTTATCAGTAGGATTTATGTTGAGTTTTGGTTGATTTTTGTACTTATTTACACGTTTTCGAGATACAAATATAGAATCAAAATCCTTCTGATATTCATCATCTTCTGATTTATGTTCAATAATTCATTTAGCTGAAGCTGATGTTGTTAAAGACTCTCCCATTTCTTCCTAAATTTCAAGTTGATGAAATGCATCCAAAATTGAGCTTTGTAAATATTGATATCTTGTTATTACATTATGTGATGATGATTATACATGAAGTCGAAATGAAACCCAAAAGTTGAAATATTTTGACTTTGGATGTCAAAGTTGAAATGAAAAGTCGAAATGGTCGAAATTACGTCATATTACATGATTTTTATATAAAGAAAAAAATATTGCTCCGATTCATATGAAATAACTACCATTCGATTCCTCATGACTAGACGAATCTATTGAGCTAACATTCATTGATTTTGGATCATCCTATCTCGAGATATTTGCGATCGTATTTCAAAATCCGGACTCCTTTATTTAAGTAGAATTTATTGATTTATAATTTCAGCCGATAATACAATTGCGAGTATCTCGTGATTGGATGATCCGAAATCAATGAATCTTAGCTCATTGGATCCGCCTAGTTTCGAGGAATCGAATGGTAGTTGTTTAATACGAATCGAAGCGATATTGACTGAGATCATACATCTTTTGTTTTTTGTTTTTTCTAAATATGAAAAATCATATGATATAATATCATTTTGACTATTTCGTGACTTTAGTCTCCAATGGTCGAAATGATTTCGACCATTTCGACTATTTTAGATATCCGAAATGATCTATTTCAATTTCATGTATAATGATAATGTTCTAAAAGTAGAAGACATTTCTTTATCAATTAAACCAGTAATTAATTTATTTCTTTTATAAGAAGCTGCAGTAGAAAATTGACTGGAGTTATTTTCTTCATCATCAAGTATGCTAGTAATTGACCTTTTCCTGCTCATTTTGTTAATATATTTGAAAGAGAAAAAAAAAAAAAAAAAAAGTTCAAAATAGAGGAATTTATAAGAATAATCTTCATATTTGTATTATTTTATATTCTTAATATTATTTTACAATATAAGGATGATTTACATATTATTTGTTGCATGTATTATCTATCAAATAATACTTTATTTAAAGTTTCTGATTTAATTATATTAAAAGTTTATTTATGCTTATTTATTTCTGATTTATAAACGAATTACAAATTCTAGTAAGAAATTAAAATTTTATTGTATTAGATAAAAATTTTGCTTAAAGATGTTTTTTTGGTAAAAAAAAAATAAATAAAGAAATAAAAGAAATCCTATTAAATTCAATCACAACTAGCTAAAATTTCAACTAAAATCTGAATTTTATTTTATATGAATAATATCAAAAGGATATTTTGTTAAAAAAAACTAATTTTCAAGTAGAATTTAAGTTGATTTTTGAAAACCAGTAAGTTGAACGAACAATATCACAAGAATATTTTATCGTAAATCGTTAATATATAATTAGTAAGACTAATTGTATGAATAATATCACAAGGATATTTTTGTCAAAAAAAAACTAATTTTAAGTTGAATAAGTTAGAATTAGGTTGATTTGAGAAACTAGAAGTCGAATGAGCAATATTGTAAGAATATTTTGCCAAAAAGGTATAATAAGTAAGACTAGTTGTATGAATAATATTGCAAGGATATTTTTGTCAAAAAAAACTAATTTTAAGTTGAATAAGTCAGAATTAGGTTGAATTGAGAAACTGGAAGTCGAATAAGCAATATCGTAAGAATATTTTATCGTAAAGGTATATCAAAATCGAATGAGTAAGAATTAGTTGATTTGAGATATATAAAAGTACTAATTTTTCAATCGACTTTCTTTAGAAAGTAGCAATTCCTTAAACATCTTATTATTTTCCTT